CACATGAAGAAACTGAGACTTGGGAATGGTTAACAACTTATTCAAAGTCACCCAGTGGCAGAACTGGGGAACAAAAGCCTGTTTTGTTTTTTAAATCCCTACACTGCATTATTATAATACAAGACGGAATGTGTGAAGTTCCTCAAAAAGAGGATCAGATGAGGTCCAAGGTGTGGGCCATGTGAGGGAGGATACAGTATATCCAGGAAGTTTTTGTTGGTACAAAACTAAATGTCCTGAATGGCACCGTCCCAACTGCTCCCCCGCCCTTCCTCCCCTGAGCCTTATTCTGGTTAATGCCCCACGAACGACCCGTGGAGCCAACTAATCACCCAGCTAAGCCTCGCATAAGCTTCCACGCCTCCCTCTCCCTCACTTCCCCAGATCCACCATCACCAAGTCCTTCAGTTACACCACCAACTGTCTGTCCCCTCTGTTGCCTCCCACTCATCCATTCACTAAGTCAGAAATGCACTGAGCCCTAACCATGTGCCAGGGCTCGAACAAGCCAGAGACAGCTCTTGACCTCCGTGAGTTCTGTTCCCACCTCTGTCCAGGCCCTGTTCCCCCTCCCCAGGATTGCTGAAACAATTCTTTTTGCGCATCTCCCATCTTTAGTTTCACCTCTGCAACTCTTCCAAGGCCTGGCACTCAGGAGGTGCTCAATGAGTGTGGAATGAAAGAATGAATGAATCTTCTACACTAACATCGGGGTCTTTCTACACGATAGTTCTAATCATGTCACTCAGAAACTTTCAGAGGTTGCCTATTTTCTCCAGCATGCAGTCTTAGCCTGACATTCAAGATTTTTTTGTAACCTGGATCATATTAGCCTAAAAGGGATGCTCCATTTAAATGAAATTACTCATCCTTCCCTTAAGAGTGGCATGAATTTTCTCATCCCACCTGGTGGCAGAGACTGCGCACCAAAGCCCACCCTAGTACTGGCTGTATTTCTCAGTCCCCCTTCAGGGCAGCTCAGGGCTGGGTGGCAGGATCTGGCCAGCAGAGTCCCCACCATGATGCAGGGCCCCCCAGTGCCTCGGAACTCAGACATCGCATAGGCCACGGGCTAAGCCACTGAGACGTTCTGGGTCTGTTACCGAACGCAAGTCCATGTGCCTGACACACAGTGAGTCCCAACAATACCGAAATGTCGGAGTTTGCAGCAGAGAAAGGTTTACTGCAGGGCCACGCAAGGAGACAGGTGGCTCATGCCTTAAAAACTCTGAACTCCCTGAAAGTTTTCAGCAAAGCCCTTTTGTAGGAAAGGTGAGGGAGGGGCGTGGTTAGTTGTTGCTAACTTCTTGGTGTCTGATCCTTTGTTCTTGAGGTCGGGTCTCGGTCAGGTCATGATGTTCCCCTAAATCTCCACCAAAACAAGTGTCTTTCTCTTTTCTGACAAGAAAGGGCAAGGGCCCAAGGCTCAACTTCCGCCCTCCGAGGTCCAGGTCCTGCCTAAGAGGAGCCTGTGCAGGTCGCTTACCCTGCCCGGGAGTGTTCATCCAGCGGCCAGTCTGGGTCCTGCGGCCAATGCCCAGGCTCCGCCGAGGAGGCAGATCTCAGCTGGCGGCGCCCTCGGGGCCAGGTCCCCAGACCCCGCCCAGCCGTCATCACTGAGGGAGCCAGGCACGCCGCACCCAGTCGGCCCTCAGGCTTTTCATTTAAACTGGAGAGAATCATTTGCAGAGCATCAACAGGAGCACATGGTGTAGCAAATGCCAATCAGGCGAATGCCCAGCTCACCACAGCTGCCCTTCTTTGAGAACAGCCCCACGACAGAGGTGGCCCTGCAGTCACGACGTGCAATGCCCTTGCAATTTAACCCTGACCTCTGGCCACCTCCTAGGGGTGGACAACTGATCTAAGCTGGACCAAGTTTAGAAACTTGAACGGACAGACTGAAGCTGGTTGAAGCTGTTACCTTCATGGCTGTGTCCATATACTCCCGTTGCCGAGGCCTCCAGGGACTGCGACCCAGAGACGGCCGCCGCCACGAAGTCGCGGAGGCGGGGATGGGGGAGGGGTTCGCTGCTGCCTCAAGGCCTGGGCCCGGCCAGTGGGTGGCAGTGAAGAGGACTCTGGAGCTCTGGAGGACACAGCCCTCAGCCTGTCCCCGGGCCCCCCGCCCCCCTCCTCAGCTCACCCTCAGGCTCGGAGACCGGAGGGCCTGGAGGGCCCAGGAGAGAAGGCCAAGGGCCGCCTCTCGCCGCACTTTCTGCTACGAGGAACCCCACAGCTGTGCTCCTCGGGGCAGCCAGACCTCCAACCACCTGGAGCGCTCCGGCTCTCGTGCACTTCGGGTCTCGCGATAACTGTCGTGCGCTAAGGGCTGCGCGCGGCTCTGCCCCTATTACGAGTCTATGTGTTTCCACAACAGGGTCTATCCTCTCCTGAACAAACGCACATCTTGGCTCCTGCTAGTCCCTCTGCCTAGAGAGATGTTTTCCCTCTTGCTCAGCAGTTGAAATTCCTTAGTTTCAACTCCATTATGGCCTCCCCTGGGGGGGGGGGTCTGTCACTCCCACTTCTCTCTACTCTGGGACACTGTTATCACCCTTATTGCAGCCCAGAGCAGAGGCCATCTCTACACCATGATGTCCAGAGGCCAGGGGCTGTGTTTGTTTAATTAATTTTGTCTCCCGCAGGGCTTAGTCTTGTCATTTGTACTCAGGAGTAGACAGTGTGCAGCTGACATGAATTAGGTCAGAGGGAAGACCATTTACCCCGGCCTCATTGTAGCAGTTGGGGGATGGAGGTAAAAGCTTGACCCATCCCAACCTGGAGGCCGCAGTGATTGGCAGGGATTTCAGGGTTTCAGGTGAACAGGCGGCTAGACAGTGTGGGTTGGGAGGGAAGAGGGGACCACAGCACCTGATCATTGCCATCCCTCCCTCACAACCACAGGAAACCCGCAGCCTGTGCAAGATCTGGGTGTGCGGGGGGGGGGGGGGTAGCTACTGAAGAGCCTCTGTGGCTTCCAACTGTTTACCTCCTGGGTACCATGGCGACGGGAAATTGGTCGCCGTGGCAACCCCATTATTAACCAGCCGCAGCAATCGCGGGCCGATAGTGAATGACTACCGAAAAGGCAGAAACACTGGCGCATCAAAGGCAAGAGGCACACGCAGTCCCGGCCAAAGTCCCAGATAAAGTGACTGAGATCTTGTGGGGACCAGTCACCCGGAGAGCAGCCAGTCGCCCTCTCCTGGCATCCCACGCCCGACGAGGGCCCCGTTTATGACAGAACAAAGGCTAAGAAGGAAAAGTGCGTGCGCTCGGGCGTTCTTGCGAAGGGAAGTTCGCGTCTTTCCTGCCACACCCACTCCCCGCCAAGGGAGTCCCGCTAGCTCAGTGAAATGCTAACTCGCTTCCCTGACCTAGCGGAATTGTCAAGAATCCGGGACTTTGGCGTACAAGGACCTAGCGCAGGGAGTGGCCGTGACAGGGGTCACCTCCCTCCTCCCAGCCCGGCTTTCCATCGCCCCCTCCAGTGATTTCTCATTCAGGGAGTATGTCACCCCACGCCTAGACAACGACGTCGTTGCCCGTTTTTATGAATGAAAGTGTGTGTGTGCGTGTGTGTGCGAGGGAGGGGCTGGTGGACAGGTCCATAGAGACAGGGGTCTGGACTGAACACTCCGGGGTAGAGCCCGAACCCAGGTAGCCAGTCACTGCCCCAGGGTGTGAGGTACCAGGGAAGGCGCCGGCCCCAGCTTCGCCCCTCCGGAACATTTGGTGAGGAGCGCCCACCGTCGAGCCGTCTGGTTTCCGGGTGAGGGGTTGCGCCGGCGGAACCGCTGGCAGGGAGAGCGCTGAGCGAGCGAATTGCGTGTCCCCGGCACCGCGTCCACCGCCACGGGGTCCCAGCCGCGGGCCCCGGGTCCCCTCTGCTCTTGCCCCACTGACCCTCGGCCACATGCCATGTCTAACTAGAGATACCCACTTCAGAATGACAAATTTTAGTCTCAACAACAGCATAAAGCAGAGCAGCTGTGAACTGGGGAATCACACGGAGAGAAAAATGAATCGGCACTTCCTCCAGTCATCCAGTCCTTGCCCAGGGTTGCCGGAGAGCGAGGGGCTGCTAGCCGCGCCCCCCTCGGGGCGTCGGGGGCGGGGGTGAGGGCTGAGCTGGAGAGAAAAGCCGGAGGACGAGGACAGAGGGCCCGTGTGATTATCCGGTTAGGGGTTTGCAAAGGATCTGAGGCCCACCCCACCCCGCCCCTTCTCCTCGCTCCTGAGCACTAAGTCCCTAAGGCCAGAGCAGCCAAGATCGCGGATTATGATTTTGTCGTTAAAAAAAAAAAAAGAGTGCTTACTCCCCCAAAGTATTTTCATTCTTTGCCTCCTCCGCAGCCCACCTGTCTCTTTGCATCCTCACGGCTGAACAGGGCCCAGCGGAGGCAGTCCCCCTACCCCGGCGGGGGTCCCCTTGGCTCCTGCCCCCTCCAAGCCATGGACACAACTTCCCCCCCGCGCCGCGCGTACTCGGGGAGACTCTGCGCGGGAGCCGAATCTGGAGCCCGGGGAACGAGGCGGCGCGGCCTCTGGGTACAGGGTTTCTTGGGGAGATGTCTCGGGGGTGGTGTCCATCCTTTTGCTGAAGGAGTCCAGCTTCTTCTGCCTCCTGCCCTGACGGCTCAGCCCGACTTGGCCCAGCGCGTCTGCGGGACGTGAGTAGAAAGGGGTGCGATAGACTTAGGAGGCGCAGGGGACGCCTTCTAGTCCTTTGATCCCTGCTGGAGGGAGTTGTGTGTGTGCCGCGGGTGGGAACAGATGCCAGAGCTGGCTCTTGCTTCTGCTCCTTCCTTTCCTGCCGAGATGTGGCCCGTTTCAGCACCGGGGGGGTGCGGACAGCGCCGCGCCCGCCCTAGGGCTCCGCCACCCCACTGCCCTGGGCGTACTTCTTTAATCCACACGGTGACTGAAGTCCGCGTCCCCCGCGCACCTCCCAGCGCCCCAAGAACAACCAGCTCAAGGGCCCCTAAAATCCTTACCCCACTTCAAAGTTTGAGCTCTCCGCGGCGCGCCTGCGTCTGGCAGAGCGTCTCCTCCCCGCTCTGGGCCGCAGCTCCGGCCTCACTCCCTCCCACACTCTCGGGCCCCAGGACCCTCCTCTTCAGGTGGCGGAAGGAGCCGGTTGCCCGCCTCTCTCTGCGAAAGTCAGGTGAGGCTCTGGAGCCTCAAAGGCGGTCCCCGAAGAGGCAGAAGCCACTCGTTTGCATCACCGTGGCCTCCAAGGGAAGAGGGGCGAGCCAGGAGCAAGAAAGCAGAAAAGTCTGTCTGTCAAATCCGGACCCTCCCCTAACCGCGAACGGCCTCCTTGGACTCCTTCCTGGGATGTTTTACCAGTAGTGTAATCCATGCGGCATGAGGACACAGCAGAGATCTGGGAGTTTGAAATTTAAAGATGGGAATGTATATCCCCTTAAACTCATTTACAATCTTAGGGGGAGGGTTTTAGAAACAAATGTCTCTTAGGGATATTGTGTATTCTCCTTGCAGAATGTTGGTTTCCTTCTATCACACCGGACAACACAGATTCCCCGAATCAAAAATTAAAACCCATCAATCCAGCTGGTATTCATTGTCCTCTGTGGAAGAGTTTATGAATTTCTTAAACTCTTTTCAAAGAAAATAACTTTAACAAAACCTCCACATTTCTCCAAACTCACTTTCTCCATAGAAGTCATTTATCTAAGGACATATTCAGGATGAAGACCTAATCTCACCTCCCTCTCACTTAGGTTCTAGATGGAAGGAACAGGTCCCAGGAGCCTTCCTGTCTGGGACAAGAAGCCTCTGGGTTCTAGGTTCCCATGAGTGACACTCTTATAGTGAGAAACTCCAAAGGAGCAGTTCCCCCAGCAGCCTGAAAACCAGAGGTTTCCCTGAGGGCTTCAAGTATGTGGCATTTCCTGAATATACATATCACACTGTCTATTATTCATGGAGCAAATTGTCTTTAGAAGACAAGTTTTCAAGTTCATGCAACACTTCAAGGGAGAGATGAAGTGTACACTATTCACTGGAGAAATAAAGAGTTAGAATGGCACGTGCACACGTACACACATTCATCTTAGAGAAGGGGAGTAAAGCCTAGCAAAAATTTCCTTGAAAAGCCAGGCTTAATTGTTCAGATTCAAAGGATCCTGGTTATATGAAAGCAAATGAATGGAAGTGGTGAATCAACAAAACAAAGCGGAAGCCACAGATGTTGGAGGAGAGTTCTTATCATTTGGGCTCCTGGAAGAAATGTGAAGTGAATTTAACACACGAGAAAACATAATTCATGAGACTATGGCCTCATTAAGACCTTTAGTCTCCTCAATCCAGAGAGTCTCCCACATACATCAGTTACCCTGTGCAATTTTGTTTTCAGCCCTCATTATTGGGAAATGCTGCATTTCCTCTAATCCCTGTAACTTACCATACAAGTTAAAGCCGTCTCCTGTTGCCTTGTCCTCAGGGAAGACAGGAAGCAGGTGGTAATCCTCTGTTGCCCAGAAACATTTCAGAGCTAAAGAATCTTAAATGCTGATTTTGGAGAAAGTAGTAGTTATCATGAGACAATTTTAAGGCATAAGACTAAAAATGAAAAATCCATTTGGACTTTGTTTTTGAAATGCAGACCATTTCTAAGATATGAGGGGGAAAGCAAGACCTTACAAAATTGACTATAAAATGGAGAGGTGCACTGAATCTGATGAAGTAGAGCATCCACTACAGGACGGAGCATGTAATTGCCCTGGAGGAAATTATGTGGGTGGCTAGAGTTACCACTGAAGAACTTTTGGCACCTGAAATGTGGAAACAGGTGAACTGAGATGGGAAATGAGCAGAAAGAGACGGGAGAAGCTATATCTGTGAATTTGCCTGGAAAGGCATCCAGCGGCAAGATCCTGGGCCACCAGGATGGAAGGTCCAGATAGGGCCAAAGGCACACTGAGTGGGGTGGCCTCTGGGGACCTGTCCTATTGCTTAATACGCTTCATCTGAGGTACAAGCAGGTGTGTATGGCACAGTGTGGAAGGGTCAGCAATCCTTTATCAAGATGCAGGACACTGTTAGCACCAGGCAATCCCAGACAAGTTAGTGGGAGGTCCTAACAGGTCCATGGTATCCAGACACCCAGCAGAGGGATCTTCAGAAACCCAAAGCCTGTGCCAGAAGAGGGAGTCCACAGTTTGAAGGATGCTATGGACAAGGTATCACTTCCTCATCCTGATGGGGCAGGTGAGACGGGGAGTGGGGGAGGACTAGGTGGATCCTAGGTTGTTTCAGCCTCAGCCAGGACTCACTAAAGAAATGAGAAGGGGTCTGTGGGGAAAACGGTGGCACCCAGCCGGCAGGAGCTGAGGAAGGCTGGCCCCAGGGAAACTGGTGAGACCAGTTCTATTCACCTGTGATTTCAATGCCAGAGAAATGAAAGGATAAGTACTCGTCATGCCCAGAAGGATTGAGTCTGAGTATGAGCCTGTATAGGTGTGGCTTAGGGGACTCCCCAGTGATGTGTAGTTTTGTTTTAAAATTTAGAAATGGTGGAATTATGGTCTATATAGTGTTCTGGGATTGTTTTTTCAGTCAATATTAAGAGTCAGTGATGTTTCTTGCAGCTTTAGGTCTTTCGGTTTTACTCTGTAAATATACAATTTGTTATTTATTCTGGGTGCACGTGATGCACTTTGATTTCATAAACTGGGGAGGGGAACTCAATTTTTGCTATTCTAATTACGGAAAATCTGCCCAGTACAAACAAATTTCAGATGTCCTGGTGACCTGATAATTACAGGCTAGGGTTGGAAGGCACATAATTTGTGCCCATAGGTGGGCAACAAGGCAGCTACTTCTGCTGGGGGCCATATGGTGTCCATTGTGCTAAAGAACACGCAATGGGATAAGCAGATAAGCCAGACTAGCAGATGAGAAGTAGAGATGCAGACAGATAAGCCCAGTTATCAGTAAGGGGGAGGGTGTGGGCCTACCCTGGCAGATGGTCTAGATCCTTGGTAAATGATAAGGCAATTTGTAGGAATGGCTTTTAGGAAATAAAGTATTTATGCAGAGGCAGGCAAGGTTCACAAGAGAAGCAATGATGAACCAATTTCCCCAGCAAAAATTCTCCCATCAGTGCAAAGTCATCTGGGGAGGAAAGTCCCCGAGGTGGGAAGAAGCAGTTGTTTTTAGATTTTAAGGCTCACTTTGCCTGTTTCTTTCTCAGACAGTGATGATGACATGTTTCCCTCACCTACCTGGCAGTTGGAAGAATAGAAGGAAAATTAACTTAAATTAATGAAATGTGAGGAGTTATGAATTCTATCCAAATATCATTAAAAGCCTGAGGAGGACCGTGGTGCTGTAGGGTCTAATCTACCTTGTCCCAGGAGACACCCCATTCAGGCCAGCCTTGCAGGCAGTGGACAGGTAGGGGCTGCCAAAAAGGCCCCCATCTCCTCTCTCTGACCACCAGTGCCTGCAATTCCACCCTCAGAATTTCATCCCTCTATTTTCAAACTTTGATCCCTGTTAAAATGCAGATAGCTCCAGGTGATAGAGTGTGGGTAAAGAATCAAATAAAAAGTTCTGATAAGACTGAGGAGAGCATCTGATGATGCTAGAGACCAGTGAGGGTGGGATGGCGTGGATGCCATGGCAGAGGGGTGGGTGGTATCAGAGGGGTCAAGGGCCCAGGTGACAGACACTGGACACTGAGGGCAAACTTGACCCCCATTACAACCGAACCTGGCCCTGGCCTGGGCACATCACACGAGCTTTCCTCTAAGCCTAAAGCCTTCATTTTCCACCCACAAAAGAGGACAATGACCTCTGCTAATTGTTAGAGCTGGCAAATGTGTACTGGATGCCAGGCTCTTCTAGTGGATGGTAGCATGAACGTCATCACAGGCGCTCATTAATAGATGTGATGTACCCTGGAGCTCAGTACTACTCAGGACCACATTCTCATCAGGGCCTGGGGTAAACATATGGAGTGTTCCTGGACATTTTAATATAGGTATGGCTAACATGCACTCAGGAAATATGGCAAATAAGGGGTGTAAATCGGGATCCAAAATCATCTTGAGCGCTTTCAGCAATGGGCTGAAAATACAGACCAAGAAAAACATGTAACGGGAACAAGTATAAGGTTCTGCATTAGGGTCCTGAAAACTCAGCCACCCCAGTACAGGAAGAGGAGACGTGGCTTAGCAGACCTCATTCAGTGTGACGCTAAGCCTCAGGGTGATGTGTCTCCACAAAATTGGCAAAAAGTTAAGGAGAAATAAAGCTGACTTAATAGAAATAGATCACATAGAAAAGAGGTGAGAACATAACATTTTATGTTATGTTCTAGATTTTCTTCACATACACATATTCTCTTTCACAGTCGTAATAACATGTAAATACAATTTTGTTATTCTGCTTTTAATTATCTTGAGAAATAGCCTATCTTGCTGCATTGGTTTCCAATGCTTTTTAGTCGGGGCCAAATCTTTTATCACTGGCCACGATCATGGTCAAATGAATTATACGATCAATAGAATGACTTACACAATTATTGAACTTTTTATGTACATTTAAATTATTTCCTATTTTTCAATCCTTTAAATGACTGCCAAAAACACATGCATAGAGCCTTTTCCTATTTTTTGTAATTATTTTAGGTTATATGGTAGAATTATTATTTCCTTAGGTTCCCAGAAGTAGGATTACTCCAGAGATATAAACATCTGAATTCAAGAGAAGTTTTAGCAATTTCTATTGCCATCAAAGATTTGCCAGTTCCACCATTTTTTCCCACCAGCATTCTATTTTATTTTTCACATTTCATGCTAAACTGTACCCCACTATAGTTTTAAGTTGCATCTCAATAAGAGGTAGTAAAATTGAACATTTTCTCATGTCTGTTACTTCTGTTTCCTCTTGGTGAATCATCTGTTCATGTCCAACTTTACATTAAAGGTGATGTTTTTTGGGCTTCCCTGGTGGCGCAGTGGTTGAGAGTCCGCCTGCCGATGCAGGGGACGCGGGTTCGTGCCCCTGTCCGGGAAGATCCCACATGCCGCGGAGCGGCTGGGCCCGTGAGCCACGGCCACTGAGCCTGCACGTCCAGAGCCTGTGCTCCGCAACGGGAGAGGCCACAGCAGTGAGAGGACCACGTACCGCAAAAAAAAAAAAAAAAAAAAAAAAGATGTTTTTCCTTTCAATTTTCATGAGGTT